AAGTTATAAATTGATTTGCATATTAATGAGTGATATAAGTATTTGACCACTTCAACTTAGTACTTGGTGACAAAACCCTTGTTGGCAATCACATTTCTTGTAGTTGGCCACCAGGTTTGTACACATCTCAGGAGGGATTTTGTCCCACTCCTCATTGCAGATCCTCTCAAAGTCATTAAGTCATTAAGGTTTCATTAAGGTTTTGGAGACTTGCTAGGCCACTCCAGGACCTTAATGTGCTTCTTCTTGAGCCACTCATTTGTTGCCTCGGCTGTGTGTTTTGGGTCTTTGTCATGCTGTAACCTCCTTCCCTAGGCCACGACCCATTTTCAATGTCTTGGCCTAGGGAAGGAGGTTCTCACCCAAGGTTTGACGGTACATGGCTCCGTCCATCGTCCCTTTGATGCAGTACAGTTGTCCTGTCCCCTTAGCAGAAAAACACCTCCAAAGCATAATGTTTCCACCTTCATGTTTGACGGTGAGGGTGGTGTTCTTGGTGTCATAGGCAGCATTCCTCCTCCTCCAAACACGGCAAGTTGAGTTGATGCCAAAGAGCTCAATTTTGGTCTCATCTGACCACAACAGTTTCACCCAGTTCTCCTCTGAATCATTCAGATGTTCATTGGCAAACCTCAAACAGTCCTGTACATCTTGAGCAGGGGGACCTTGCGGGCGCTGCAGTATTTCAGTAGTGTATTACCAATTGTTTTCTTGGTGACTATTGTCCCACCTGACTTGAGATCATTAAAAAGATCCTCCCGTGTAGTTCTGTGCTGATTCCTCATTCTCATGATCATTGAAACTCCGTGAGGTGAGAACTTGCATGGACCACCATACCGATGGAGACTGACAGTTATTTTGTGTTTCTTCCATTTGCGAATAATCGCACCAACTGTTGTCACCTTCTCACCAAGCTACTGTCATACCTCCTCACGGCCTGTGCTGCTCCGGTCCCGCCGTCCATCCTATTCTGCCAGGCTGTGCTGACCTCCAGCCGACGTCGCGCGCACACATCCAGGGGCGTGTGCATACACGCGCAACTGCCGACTAGGGGGCATGCAGCTTGTCCTGGGATCCTTAAAGCTATAGCACCATGTGAACTTTATATACTGCTTTTCTATCCCCTAGCCTATCAGATATCACCCAGCTCTATTTATACCTCCTTCTTACATAATTTCCTTGCCCTGTTTTGGTTTCTTGTAGCCCAAGAGTGCATAGCTTGTCTATCTTTGGTATCTGACTTCGGCTTGTTTTCTGATTATCCGTACTTCTGGCTTCCTTGACCCTTGGCTTTGTTTATCGCTTATTCTTTCTTCTAATACCCTGACCTTGGCTCGTCTGAATTTTCTTATTTATCTCTTTTCCCTTCACGTTAAGTCTGGCCATTTAAAGGACCGGTAATATGTCTAGCTTGGGTTGCCTTTCTAGTCCCTTAGTTTGCGTGTTGAGGAGCTTTACCTTGACAGCTACTTGGAGATGGTCTTGAAGCCCATTCCAGCCTTATGTAGGTCTACAATCTTGTCCCTGATATCCTTGGACCGCTCTTTGGTCTTGGCCATGGTGGAGAGTTTGGAATCTGATTGATTGATTGATTGATTGCTTCTGTAGACAGGTGTCTTTTATACTGGTAACTAGCTGAGATAAGAAACACTCCCTTTAAGAGAGTGCTCCTAATCTCAGCTTGTTACCTGTATAAAAGACACCTGGGAGCCAGAAATCTTGCTGATTGATAGGGGATCAAATACTTATTTCAATCATTGACATGCAAATCAATTTATAACTTTTTTGACATGCGTTTTTCTGTTTTTTTTTTTTTTGTTATTCTGTCTCTCACTGTTAAAATACACCTACCATTAAAATTATAGACTGATTCTTTCTTTGTCAGTGGACAAACGTTCAAAATCAGTAGGGGATCAAATACTTTTTTCCCTCACTGTAAGTCAGCCATGGGGGATTGAGGAAACTGTGGTCAGTTAGTCAACCCAGTGTCCATCACGAGACCACCAGTGCAAAGTTGGATGAGGGCAAGATGTCAACGATAACTCTATGCTTGTGACCAGGGTGCAATTGCCCCCCTGCTCCCGTTGGCCAGCCTTCGTTCAGCCACTTTCTATTGCAAAAAAAGACACTTGCTTTCAAAATTGTACACATGAGAAAGTGGCAAACAATTTCACCAATTATTGAAAGCTAGTGTCCCCGCACAAAAATATAATTATCTCTGAACCTTTCTCGATGTGTGCGACTTCTATTCTACTACCTTTCCAGTTTCCAACCGAGATATCACATTTCAGATGTAATGTAGGCATTCAATGAACAGATGTCTGAAAAATGTACACAAACAAAGGAGTGGAGCAATAAACTAATTTCGATTTTCTTTTTTAAGACCTCGTCCATTGTTCTCTGTACCTCAACTGTAGGGTTTGCCTTTAGAAGCAATCTCGCTTGAATTTACTTAAAATATCTCTAGTCTGCACAGTCATGGGAACAGTACGGATCTGAAGAATAAAAAATAATTAGTAGGATATAAAGTACGAACCCTCAGCACTGGCCAGTTACAAAGTGCTTTATCTGGCTAATGGCTACCATGCCTCATGACTGATTAAATTCTCTTCTGTACTGCAGACAAACAGAAATACAAAGGATATTCCCAGGACTTAAATAGCTATTCCTGCCAGAAAGTGAATCATAGATTACACAGGATAGAAGGACTCTCATCTCTAAACAATGAATTTTAGTTTGTTTACAAATAATTTGCCAACTTTAGGAAAAAATAGCTGTTTAGTAAATAAACCCCTTAATCAAATCTTGGTTTATTTGCTTGAATCATTGCTCCAAGCACCATAACCACAACAGCACGCTGCAGTGGTTATGGTTCCAGGACTGCAGTAGCACCACCCTATTGAAAGTAGCGATGACCTTTTAAATTCCACTTCTTACCTCGGCCCCCCCCGGGAACTGGCCCCAGCCTCCACTATAGTTGCAGGAAACAAATAAGCTGCTGTTTATGAACTTCCGTTAGATCTCTTATGCTAAGTCATTTAGTGCAAGGCTTGTTCATTTGCTGAAAACTGTACGATTTAAACAAATAGTAAATATATCCATTTACATGGCGATTTATTCCTTATACCATGAAAATTATTGGGATATTGGGATATTTTTTATATTTTTTAACACATTTAAATTTTACACATATTACCCAGAAAACGTTGTGGTGGAAATATAATTTTCCTCAATTTATTTAAAAAAAAATTATTATAATAATACTAGTGTTTAGAAAAAGTAATATTATTTGTATTACTTCTTAGGCAACATATTTATAATAATTTATAATAATATAATATCTATCCACAGGTTTCCAGTACTTTTATTGTTGATTATAATTTATCAATATATTTTTTTCTGTCTGCACAATCATAGCT